GGGGGGGGGGGGGGGGGGGGGGGGGGGGGGGGGGGGGGGGGGGGGGGGTTCGTAGTTTTTAATTGCGGGGTGTGCGGGATTTTTTTTTTGGAAGAGGTGAAGAGGTCCGGGAGACAGAAACGCCTTGTTGGGTCTTGCAGATGAAAGAATCGGAATCGAGTACGCCCGGTGTGTTCCAGCCGGTATTCACGGGCCCGCGGTTCGAAGCCGCGGGTTTCCTGCCGCATTACGACGCGTTTGCCGAAGGGCCGCCTCCGCCATTGACGGCGGAGCCTTGGCAGCCGCCGGTGAAGAAGCGGCGACGTCGTGTGACCTCAGACGTGTCGCCTTCGAGCATGAGCACAGCGGCGGAGCAGGCGGAGGCCTCAGGGTTGTTGAATCAGTTCGACCCATATTCATACTTTGGCGCGGCCCAGGAGGGGGAGGCGGCAGTGGCCTGGAACATATTCCCCGAGCACCGAGGGGGCGGGGGTGCCCCCGACTTAGCTCCTGACTTGGGCGGCCTGAGTCTAGGCCCCGACTTGGGTGGCCCGGAGTTGGGTCCATCCTACAGCACAGACTTGGCCTCGTCCGGCCTAGCCGACTCGCTCCTAAACAACGCACAGGACCTTAAGGGCGACGACTTGGCCGCCCATGGCGGCTTCGCCGCCCACCGCGCCACCTTGGAAGATAGTCTGGATGACTCGCTGGCCGTCCCAGGTGCACTGGCTCTCAACACGGCCAGCATCACGAGCGCCATGCTCGGAGCGGACGGCATGCCGGGTCAGTACATAAAGGGCGACGACCTCGTAGGGAGTCAGTCACTGGGCCAGCAGCCGGCGCAGACGCAACAATTGGCGCCGACCCAAAGTCGTTACTCGGGCGGCCAGAGCTCGTCGGGCAGCCGACACGAGTCGGGCGGTCGCGAGTCAGGCCGGTCGCGAAGTGCTCAGTCGGGCACAGACGAAGGTGCGTTTCTCAAAGAGGACAGTCAAGTCGTAAACCGGCCGGAGTTGACGGAGGAAATGGTGGTGGAGTTGAACGACATCTCGCAGTTCCGGAAGGATGACCGTTTCGCGCGGTTCATCGTGCCATACCAGGACAAAGTCAGCTTCCCCCTGGGCGAAGGCGGTCGCGAACTCCTCAGAGCCTGCCTCAACGTCAAGGGCTGCAAAGGTCGCCAATTACAAGGTGCTTCCGTGCCCGTCCTGCTGCAACTCGCCTACCAGTGGGACCTTTGGGACGTCGCTCTTCGAATAAAGGTCGAACGCCAAACCGGTCAACTCAGCCCAGCCCATGAAGCCTTCGTCCGTTTCAAAGCCACCCAGTCCCAACTCCGGAAGTACGTGCGCAAGGAATATATGGTCACAGAACGCGACCCGACTGGGAAAATTTCACGGATTCTATATGAGTATGTCCACCAACCCTCAATCCCCTGAGCCCTCCTCACCCCCCTGAGCCCCCCCTCCCCTTGAGCCCCCCTCCCCCTGCAGGGGCAAACTCCCCTAGTGACATAGCGCCCATGTTTGTGATTGTAGTGAGAACCGGAAGATAAAGTTGGGCAAGGATGGTCGCGAGGCATTGCGTGCGAAGTTGCGGCGTTTGCATGACAAGCATGCGACGCGGATGGATGAGTTGTTGGCGAAGCACGGGTTTAAGTATTCGGAGTTGCGGAATGCGACGGTGCAGCAATTGAGTCGGATGGCGTTTGTATGTAATTTGTGGGACCAGGTGGTCTCGGCTTGTCGGTCGCAGGAAGAGAAGCGGGATGGTAAGGGCAGCGTGAAGAAGCGGTTGGAGGGTGATGTATCACCAAGCGAGGGCGGCAGTAGCAGTGGCCAGCACCAGGTGCGATTGCCGTTCAATTTGTTGAATGGGGAAACTATAATGACGGATGAAAATGGCGAAATGAGCAATGACGACGCACGGCGAACAATGGAGGCGGTTAGCCAGCTACTGCAGCAGAGTTTCGGTACCGGGCCGCACAATGATATTTTCAACGCCGCCACCTTCACAGAAGCACTCACATCCAGCGGATTCACCCAAGTTTCCGACCTGGGCTCAAATGATTTCGGCAGCGCACACGCGTTTGCAAACGAATTTGCTTCAGCTCCAAACCACTACCACGCTTCAGCGCACGCCCCAGACAACCTTGAAGAACCCGCACTGCTCTTGCGAGACGTTAAACAGGAACCCTGCGACCAATCCGGCAACGTCGCACTCCACAACGCACCCTACTCCATGGAATTCAATCCCGCCACGGGAGGTTTCTTCTGACATGCCGCATAGGACCTTTTTTGTACCACATTGATCAACAATGACATATGCTTGACAGGCTACACCACTTCGATCCACTACAACCTCAGCACCAGGGCACGCACCCGTCGGATAAGGTACGCGCCCGCCGGATAAGGTACGCGCCCGTCTGGCAAGGGACGGGTGCGTGTGGTCAGAAATAAGGGACAAGAGCGAAGAGAGACGGCCGAATCCCGTTACCCAGCGCTGATGGGCGTTAGTTAGTTGTTAGGCGTAAGTTTATTGTCAAAAAAGAGCAGCCCACCTGCATCGCGTGAACAGAACTCGCTGTCGAGAGAACTCACTATCTATCGAAGCAGCCCACCCACGCCAGAAAGAACTTACCATGGGAACTCGCCGTGGATCATTGTTGTTGTTGTCGATAAAATCCACTGCAGGTGGAACTCACAAAGGGTAGAGCTACTCATAAGGGGCAGAACAAGTTCTGGAGGCGCCTAGTTCTGGATAGATCCAGCGTACCGGTGAAATCTTGTAGACTACCACGCGGTGGTCTAGCTGTGTACCACAGATCCGTCTCTGTATACGGAGAGCGTGTAGCTCTGACTGCGTGCGGGATTGACACGAACAATCAAAAGAGGGTTGTCACTATCTGGCAGGGTGTCTTGGTATCTGGAAGGGAAGACATTGTGGGCGTCCATGGCCCAGTTATCTTGAAGAAAGTTGTCGGTAGCTTTCCTGTTGGGTTTGCGCAGGTTTCTGTTGTCTCTATTTTTTTCATTTCTGTTTTCTCTATTCCGGTTTGCCGCTTGTAGAGCGAATTGCGGAATCGTGTTGGACAGTGTGTTGAGAAAGCTGCTACCCAGTGTACCTGGGGAAAAGTTGATGCTTGTGTTCGAGGCCATCAGCTTCAGCAGCTCTTGCACAAACGTATCACTTGCCTCCCCTGCAACCAGACCAGAGCCCTCTCCAAAATACGCAGAGGCGTCCAGCGGCAGCTCCAAGGTCTCTTGACTCTCAGCCTCCTCTTCATCCAAAGATACAAAAGACTGTAGCGACTGAGACTTCTCTCCCGAACCAGTGGTGTCCCACCAATCGTCGCTCTGCTCCCTATCCTCTTGGCCATTCTCCTGCTCATTCTCTTTCTGGGTATCCAGCTGAAAGTCGTTCACTATCCTTTGGTACTCTCGTGCAGTGTCCAACGCCCTTGCAGGGTCCCCTGCAGTGTTCAACGCCCTTGCGGCGTCCCCAGCTTCCAACGAAGCGGAGCCCAAAGGTGCTGGAGTCATAGCTGAGGATGCGGCCAGAGTAGATGCCGAAAGCACAGCCGTTGACGGCAAGAACGTTCTCTGAACCACGTAGTCGGCAAGGTCCTTTCTCCAATTTTGCGACAGCCGGTCCGTGAGCCATGAATTCAGCAGGTCCGATCCCGGTGGTAACACACCAGCAACTTCATCTCGCGGTGCGCTCCCCAAGATTGCCGGATAGACGGCGGCTATACTGTTAGTCGAGCGAGCATTAACCGAACCGTTGCCGTAGCCGTTGGCGGAAGCGTTGGCGGAAGCGTTGGCGGAAGAGCGGGGGTGGTTTCCAGGGTAAACTTCGGCGACCCGAGCCCCCCCTCCAGTCGGAGAATTTCGCAGGGCGACCAGGTCCGAGGCATTGATTGACAGGGCATCCGGCACCAGGCCGAGAGCAATAGGGCAAAGCAATATCGCGAACATTCCTGGCTTTTCACGAACACAGTCCCAATCTAGGTAGGTCGCGGCTGTGACCTCCGGATTAGCCACTGAAAGTAGACAGGCACGGTCCTGAGACTTGGACTAGATCCGACTATGGGTTAGGTCTGACGTCGTCGGGTTAGACCCACCATATATCCAGCCCCAGTCCAGAGTCGTTCACGGTGCCAATAAGCAGCATGGGGACGCTGTCATCTTTTTTGTCGTTGCTGAAAACCAAGTCGACAACGCGGAACCGACACAGAGCACCGATCTCAAAGTAGAGGTCTTGGTTGCGGTCTACTCCCTCAACCACCCATTTCCACTGACCTTCTCCCTCGTCACTACAACAAAGTGAAAATGATTGTTGGACCCGCCTCGGTGCTTAAGTGGGACATCAATGTGGCATAACCGCTTAAGCACCGAGACGAGTGAGCTAGGGGTTACCTACAGGTTCGCCAGGTGGAGTGCTTACAATTTGGAGTTGGTGGGAAGCATGTGGGCTGGAATGCGTATGTCTTGGAAAAAACCAGTACTGAGTCGTAGTCCGAGTGCGTCGCCCGAGATGATGGTGGCCAGTAGGACTTCTCGGGGTAGGGGTTTGAAGAGGATGACTTCGGCCACCACTCGATAGCACGTGCGGCCATCATTGGGACCCAGGATGGGCATTGGCTCCACTTGTAGAATTTGGTTAATCATAACACACAGACCTCGACCTGACATCACCCGGTCAATATACTTCAAATCCAGTTTCCGCCGGATGGCTGTCACTGTACCATCCATGCCTAGACTCTCCTCATCACAATCTAAAATCACTCGGTCATTGAAATCACCCAAAACATACATAACCTCTTCTACCAAAAAAAGGAACTAAGCCCATACAAAATAATTAGCCCCGCTGCTTTGTACACGGGCACAGGATGCACGGGCACAGGATGCCCGGGTATGTATAGATGTGGGTTGTGTATAGAGTTGATAGCAGGTACGAAAGTACCGATATTCGTTTATTAATTCGTGACCTTAAACGACCGAATTTCTTCAAGAAGCTTCTTCGCTTCCGGGTCGTTAACAAAATGGTCTCGAATGGGTTGGAGTATGTCATTGAGGGCATTGGTGAGTGCTTGTTTGAGGTCTCCTGGGTGGATGGCTCCAGTGAGATAGTCTTCTTCGAACTTCTCGTAAGTGTCATAGACCTTCTCGCGTTCCTCAGATTCCGCCTTTGAGGTGATGACGAACCGGTTAAGTTTCGGAAGTACAATCAACTTAACGTAAGAAACGCAAGGGTTCTCTTCCACAACGCCTGGAGGACAGTAGGCCTTCTTGATCTTTCGTCTAACATCGTCTTCCGAGTCCTCCATAAATATCGCGCTATCGGGGTCCGACTTGGACATTTTGGCCTGGCCTTGGAGGAGACCCGGGAGCATATGATGCGAGAGGATAACCGGCTTCCGGAGTCGATACTTGTACATATTGGACTGTGCAGCTGACTGCGGGGAGGCAGCATCATTATTGTCATCATTACTCTTTTTGGTCTGCTTCTGATATTTATTGTAGTTCTTGTTGTAGGTGTCGGCATATTCCCTGGCTAGGATATTGACCTTCCTCTGGTCCATGCCAAGTTGACAGATGTCTGCACCGATGTAGAAGATGTCGGAGCATTGCATGGCTGGGTAAAGGATCTGAGCAGCGGGTTGGTCATCCCCTTCCGCACGACCCATGATCTGTCCGCAACGTTTCATTCTCGAGATGGAGTTATGTCTACATATATCCATAACGCGGATCCAATAGCCATCGGGGTCTCGGTTGATTTCCTCTGACGTCCAGATAAAACGCACATTAGTCAGGTCCATGCCCGCCGCCCTCCAGACGTGGATGAAATACTCACCGACTTTACGTATCTTGTTTAAGTCACCGCCCATTTTTCCGTTAAGCATTCCAAACCAGTCGGCGACCCAAAACACGAAGACACAGCCGCAAGAAGTGAGTCTGTTCACGTTGATGCATTTCATGATACCCTGCGCAATGTGCATACGACCCGACGGTTCAAATCCATCGTAGCACACAGGAACATTTTTTTTTTCGAACAGGGTTCTGAGCTCTTCAGGCTGGATGCATTCCTCGCTAACCAACAGGGCCCTCTCGACTTTCTCCTCCAGCGTCAGGCTGGAAGGTATGTAGTCACCCCTGTTGACCACCTCCAGCCGGCCAGAGTCCTGTAGGTAGTATTCTCGTGGGTGTTCCTGCATTGTTTTTTAAATAATAAATGGTCACTCAAAATGTCCAAAAAAGTTTACAGCAACTACACTCCAAAGCTAGAACTACCCTGAAAGAAGTATTGACCACTGGTCTCAAGACATGCGAAGACCAACAGACTGAGTCCCCGGTGCAAATCTCTACCAACATACCATTCAAAAAAACGGACAAGTTCAGACCTCGGATTTGGGGCAATGCGGAGTTCGAAATCCAAACTGACTGGCTCATCGGTGGTAGACAAATGGCTGTGGACCAGACCTGTGACGAACTCGGCGGCGCCATCGTCATCACCGCGAAGTATAAGTCCCAGTCGCTACCCGTATCAGTCGAATGGAGCCGAGCCTACAACGGTATTCTGCTCGGAGACATCAAAGTCACAGGTAACTCATGCCCTATTACGGCAGACGACGCCGGTTGTGTGATCAAAGCCGCTATAACGCCACAACGGTCGGCGAACCTTGGCACGGCCTTTGTGGAGGTCGGGCCGTTCGACATGGACGTCAGCATGAAACAGAGCCTTCTCAGCTACCTGGGAAACAAACAAGCGAGCTTCTCGGTAGACCTGTAAGCTACAATGCGGGGAGATGGATCTGATGATATTTCGACACACGACACGACGACACAGGGCAAGCATACAGAACACAACGACAGAGGGTGTGCGATCTAGGTGTGCATGTGCAGGTGTGATGTATCGTCGCGCAAATTGAATTTGGTGGTGCGTCCGGACTTCGTAACATTGCGCGATGGCACAGAAGAACTCTGCACGCGGGAGATCCAGTCAAGTTTCACGATGGCGCGTGTAGACTTGAATGACTGTACAATATTTACTTTAGACATGTCGGGAGCTTCGGCACTGTCGAGCAGCGGGAATAGGTATTCGGGGAATGCGAGTTCTGGGCAAGGAGTTTACAGATTAATGACAATGTCGCAAAGACAGCGCGATACCATTGTACTGGCAGTACGAATTTTCCAAGCGTTGAAGACGACTGAATTTTCGGTTTTGATGGAACAAGTCTTGCGTAACACACACCAAGCGTCGGACCAGCAGGGGGGGGCCGGAGACACGGGGACCTTTGTGGCGACCGACGTGGACCTGTTGCTGGTACTGGAATTGATGGCGATGCAAGCCGTTGCCTCACTGGAGTATGCACACACGATGGAGAAGGAAAAGAAGAACGCCGTGCTGGAACGTGACTCGCTCGAAAGGGATATAAACGAAACACTGCAGTCCTACCAAAGTCTGATACACGAGATCATGAGCAACCAAGTAGACATGGAAACCCTCAACAGACACGTGAGCCAAACTCTCAGCCGTAGCGTACGGACAAGTGCTGGCAGCATCGACTTGGGCTCCCTCTCCAAACACGATCCGCCGCGACATGACCCGTCGCGACAGGTGAATACTGCAGACTACAAACAGCTCCAAAGCCAACTAAAGGAAAGCCAGGCGAAGAGTGAAGCCTACTTGAAGGAAATGGAGGGACACAGAATAAAGCTTAACGAGCTGCAGAGAAGACTTAATGAGAAAGACCAACAACTGCAGGAGCTGCTCCTCAACACTAGTCACCACCCAGCACAGGAACCCGTGATGAACACCCAAAAGGTGGCGCAGCACCTGAATGACCTGAATACAGTAACAATCAAAGACACTGACAGTAAGCCGCTAACCTGCTTGCTTGTAGTTGCATGTATTTCGTTTCTGCATCCGGTGCGTTGACTCATGTCTTTCTTTCATGTATTGATGTGTGTGATTAATGGTCTGCTTAGATTTTCATGATTATGACCGCATGTTGAATGAAAGAGCCAAGGAAGTTGATATGTTGCGAGGCCGAGTGGAATCTTTGACGCGGAAGTGCGAAGAGCTGACGGCAGACCGCGATTTCATCAACAAGAAAATGACGGCGCTTCAAGCTAAGCAGCGCACAGAAGGTACTTCGCCTTCGCGACAGCTCGAGACGATGACTACCATTCGGAACAAGGAGCTCGAGATGTATAAGGCCAATGTGGACGAGTTGCAGACCAAGCTCGACCGCACCAACCGGGAGATGGAAACCATTATTGGGCGGGAGAGTAAACTCCGCAAGGAGTGTCAACGTCTCAAAACCGAACTAGATGAAAGAACCTTCACCAAAATGAATCAGACTGCGTTCAAACACGGCCACGAACAAACTGTACTTGACATGGACACTGCCGGCGGTACAGCCTTGCTCATGCAAACTACAACCCAAACCGCGCCAGTCGACAAATGCCTCCGGGAGAAAGACGAGACCATACGAACTCTCCAAGCCGAAGCAGACAAAACCAAAACTCAGAACATGATCTTGACTACGCAAAACAATGAACTGAAAATCGAAAATAAAAGACTCAATGACGAGGTACAGTCTCTCCAGGAGAAATTGCGCAAGGCTCTCAGTAGCAAGTAGACGACCACCCAAGAACGACAGGTGATGGAGGCCATTGGGCAGAGACAGGCGATGCCATTGAACAGATGAGAACACCACAGGGGTGAGAGCTAAATAAGTGAGCACGCGCGTGTGCACACACACGCGAATTTTCACAAATTATATAGTACGCAAAAGTTGAGCTTTGCGGCGAAAAACTTAAATGCGTATTTGAGCGGGTAGGCGGGTCAGGGGTCTGGAGAGCCCGGTGCCGACATTTGTGTTGCGCCCGACGACGATTGCACCTGAGGGGCATCGCAAGTTGTCGATGGCGCCCCGTTCGACACCTTCGGTAAGGAACTTGATGGAGGTTTCGAAGCTCATTTGGAGAAGCGGGCTGGGGTGGTGGCTCATCCCGAGTCTGCTGAAGGCCCGGAATTCGCCAGAGTGCGTCATGGCGTCCGCGATGAGGGAGAGATGCCGGAAGTCGACGGTGATGCCGTAGACGCCGAAGACCGAAGCGAGTTCGCGGATGATGGATGCTCTGCCGGCTTCCACTCCATAGAACCGGAAGATGGACCGAATATCGTTGGTGCCGATGCGCGTGTGGTCCACGCACTGGCTGGAGAGCTGACTCACCCACTCCAAGTTGGAGCCTTCGCACTGGACTTCGCAGTCGACACCCTTGGTGTGAGTGTCTTGCTTGGTGACTACGTGGGGGTTGGCGACGCCGGGAGTGTTTTGGAGCACTTGTTTGGTGATAATCCTGGTGAGGGAGGGCATGAATTCGATCCGTCTGGGACATCGTTCCACAGGCCAGCCCCACTTGATGACGATGCGCCAGGTCTTGCGACACACCTTGATCGACTCCAGGTACCTCGAGGCCTCCGGCGGGAGGTGCTTAGAGCGGAAGCCAGCTCCTTCGCCTTCCGACCAGAGCGCTTCCTCCTCGAGCCGATCAGGTTCTATATCGTCGAGTTTGGCCATGCGCTTAAGGCGCCGTTTCTCTTCTCTACGCAGGCGTTTCCGTTCTTCCTCCGTCAGGACTTCGTCCTCCATGTCTTCGTCTGCGGCCGTCTGTTCAGCACCAGACTGTTCCGCTGCAGATTGTTCCGCGTCGGCGGTCGTCTCGGGTGCTGGCTCTTCCTCGTCGTCGAGGATCTCGCCGTCGGAGCCGTTGGGGTCTGTGAGGTCATCTTCGGAGTCGTCGTTGGAGATGTCGGTGTCAAATTCGGCGTCGCCCATTTCGTCGTCGGCCTCCTCGACGTCGTCTCCGCGCAGTTTGCGTGCGCCCTTGCGATAGATGGTACCGGTATCGCCGGCAGCGAGGAGGTCGAGGTCCACAGCAGACTCGCCGCCATCTCGATCGTTGCCGGCGGCGGCGCCGAAGCCGATACCGGCGGCGCGGAAGGTTTCTTTGAGCGCCTTCTTTTTGTCCTGGATGGTGCGTAGGTTGCGTTCAAATATGAATTTTTCGGCAGCCAGGCTGAGTTCGTCTTCGTCAGAGTCCCACATCTCTTCGCTGGCCTTGGTGGAGTAGATGGCCATAAGCTTATTGACGGTTTTGAGGAGCTCCTTGACGACACGGTTGATGGTGAAGTTGACCAGTTTCTGAGGCGTGTACTTCGGTACGACTTTGCAGAAGTGTTCGAGATTCTCGAATTGGATGGTGCATTCGTAGCCCCAGTACTTGCGCAGCAATCCGTCTCCGTAGCGCGGTTCGTGACGTGCATAGGCGGTCTCAAACTCGCTGCAGCCTCCGACAGCGCCGTTCCGGAAGGGTTGTGCGTAGACGTTGGCTTCGACACCGACGGCGTTGATGACGTCAGTGAGCATGATTTTACGGAAACCGAGTAGCAGTTTCTGGCAGTTAGCTGAGCGGGTTTCTTGGTCGTCACCCCGGACGGGCAGGTAGAGGACAGGCGTGGAGGCAGCACCGGCCGTCTGCAAAATTTCGCGGAGCCGCGGAATACCAAGCGTCACATTGGCTGCACCGTGTCCAGCCAAGTGGAAGGTGTTCAGGGTCATTTGCGTGGCCGGCTCGCCCATGGACTGTGCGGCTAAACAACCCACGGCGTCGCCGGGCTCTGCTAAGGCCTGGCGGTACTTGAGCCGCAGCACGCGGCCGAGGGCCGTCATGGAGCCGTCGGGTTTGGCGAAGTATGATTTGTGTTTCAAATCTTTGGACCGCAACAGCCCTTGTTTGACGAGCGGTTCCCGGATGCGTTGGTCTTCGACCGCCTTGGCGACCTGGGTCTCAGCTGCCTGTTCAAACCACTCTGAGACGCTGCCCGGATAAAGGAGGGGCGGAAACTTGGCGGTGAGTGGCGTGTTGAAATGCGGGTCGTAGTCGTCTTCGCGGTGCGCGGTCTGGGCCTTTGCCCGACTTTTGAGGGCGGTCTCCAATGCGCCCAGACGCTGTTTAAGCACGTCTGAATCCAACTTTTCTTCGGACGCAAATTTGGCCTGCACCACCGCCGGGTTCGCCAGTAAGTCTTTCAGGTTGTGGAGGTAGGTCATGCGACATACATCGGCACCGTCCTCGCCGTAGAGGAACTGGACGATTGAGCCATCTCCTTCACGCACTGAGCCGTCGTAGCTCACAATCATGCCTTCCAAACTCTTGATGACGCAGCGCTGTAAATAACCTGAACGCGCCGTCTTGACCGCCGTGTCCACGAGTCCCTCACGACCCGCCATGCAATGGAAGAAGTAATCCGGTGGTCGCAAGCCCGTCAAATAGCGGTCCGTAATGAGGCCGCCAGCTCGGGCGCCCAAATCCCAACGACCGAAAGCGGGATGCGTCTTACCCGAAATCATCAAAGGCACGCGCTTTCCCTCTAGCGACTGCTGCGAGAGCATGCCACAAATCATGGCGAAGTTGACCTTGCTGCCCTTCGCGCCCGTCGTAACCATACTTGAGAAGCCGTTGTTCGGGAACGGGTACAACGTCACATCGCCAGACACCAAGTCGTTGTTTTTGCTGCTCAACTCACCCATATTCGCCTGGAAGAACTTGTCGAACATGGTGATGAACAACTCCTCGCGACCGGCAAAGTAGTCGGTCACCAACCGCTCCATCCGCAAACGAGTCAACTCTGATGGCATCAACATCATCAACCGCTTACCGCTGGCCGAGTAAGCCTCGTGCCGCGTAACCCGGTCGAGAGATAAAGCACGCATTATGTAGCGCAAAGGCGACTCAAACGGCAAGGCACTCTCTCGCTCAGTCCACACCCACGACGGGTGGTACATCTTCGGCGTCCGCAACGCCCCGTCGCCCTCAATCACGTCGCCCGATGGCAGACACACACGCCGGTTTGGCAGCGGCGGCGCCAGTCGTCCCAACGGA